AGATCAATACAATACATCAGAAAGCGATGTAACTAAATCTATCTGAGTAGTTTATTTTTGATGTACTGAACATGACCGAACCTTCAAATTCCGATGATTTAACTGCATGAAACCTTAATCAATAATTCGGTCCATAAATATTTTCTAAAGAAATATTGACGAAAAATGTAAACACAACTTCACGAATGCATCTAGCACATTTGTTCATTTTATTCTTTACAAGTTGGAAATTTCAAATAAGTATTTCATTTTATGGATTCATTAATTATCCCGAACAATTAGCGGGAGGTTTTTATACTAGACTCAAAATTCTTTTGTAGATTATAAAAGAGGAGAAGCTCAACTTCCAAAGACTACAATTTTTACACAGAATCTGAGTGTATATAATTTCTGCTCATCAGGGTTGGAAAACGGTTCCATAAAGACATTCGATAGTCGTATAGAATTGTAGGTTTTCTTCAAGAATGAAAGTGAGGATCGATTAGTTCTGAGCTTTGTTGGTTTAAGAGAATAAGAAAAGAACAGTATTATTTATATCAGGATACTGTTCACTTATTTATGTTCATAACCTATAAACTGCTATCAAACATATGAGCTTCAAGTGAAACATACCGAACCAATTGAGATTCCAAGCCAATGATGAAGCATAACTAAGCATATTTGATACGCTCCAACCAAGCATTGAGTTTGCGTACACTCGAAAGGAATTAATTGTCGTAGAGTATATACCATTATATGCCTGCATAAGATAATGATTACCGGTACCACCCAAACTGGTAAAGTAGAGACGAGTTTCATTAAGATTGCATATTGTTGTGTCAACATTCATTGTCATTGTATAGTTATCGTATGCATACCATAGTGCCTGTGAAGAAAGTCCAGTACCTTTGCAAAAAGTTGGATCTGTTGCAGATTGATTGGTTTGATTTGTGTATTTTGATCCTAGAATGAACAATATAGAGGATACAATGTCTTGAAAGAGCATCAAGGCGCTTGAGAGGAAAAAAAGTAGTCAAGTTTGCATTCAATACTTACAATGTTTATCTCTATTTAGCAAATGTAAAGGATGTCTCAAAACTCTACATCATTGTTCGAGTATTAGTTAAAATTGATGAATAGTATTCCGTAATAAAACAGAAGTTATTAAAAATGTGAAAGGTTCCATTTCATTTTCATAATAAAGTAAGGCTTTCTTTTGTGCCATGATCTGTTAACAATATATTCTTATACGTTTTCAATGGTTTATTTTGCAAAGTAATCAGGAAAATATATTATCGGTAGTAACTTGTTTAAAAAGATGAAAATTTTAAAAAGATGGTAAACAATTCTTAAAATTATAATTCTTAGCACGAATTAATGGAAATAAACGAAGCGCTTCTAGACTGTTCATTCTCGAAATATGATTAGCCATGGTTTCCTACGTTTACTTATTGCGCCCACCCATGAATGTATTGGTTTTGCTTCTTTATCTTGATTAGAAGATTTCCGTGATTTCAAACGATCAAAAATCTTTTATTGCTAAGAGTAACTTTACATAGATAAGTCTTCAGCAGATTCCTCATGAAGCAGCTCTACTGATGCGATATACTGATCTGTCATTTTGCCAATTAAATGAAAAATAATTAATAAGACTTCTGAATTCAATGAGACGATTTCGAATTGAAGCATATTTCAGAGACTTATCGATTATTTGTAGATAGCCTTTCTGTTTCCTAAGTCTAAAACAGTGATGAAGGTGTCTGTATTACTACCTACTAATATCCATAACAGGCAACACGCTAGAAAAGAATTTATGAATGCAGTGTTCAACATGATGTTCGCAGAATTTACGCAATTTTTTTGTTCATCTAATAGGAACAACAGCTAATACAGTCTCATTTGATATTTTTACGAAGTTTGTTCTGAATATGGTCAAGTTTCTCTATCAATTCATGTTAAGAGTGGGGCTAGAAAGTATTCCGCCTAAAGGCATCAGTACAACAATACATACCAAACCAATAGATAGTCCAAGCATACGTTTGTGAATAATTAAGCAGAATTGCTGAACTTTCACCTAACAGCGAATGAATATAAATGCGAAAAGTAGTCGTCGTAGGACCATATATATTGTTGTAACCACGTAAGTAACGTTGTCTATCGATACCGCCAATACTTGTGAAATAGGCGGGCGCTACAGTAAAATTACATTTTCTTGTATCTAAGGCCATCGTAATTGAAGTTGCATCGTAAACGGTCCATAGAGAAGTTTGCGAAATGCCTCCACATTGATTTGGAGATGTGTATGCTATAGGGAAGAAGATGAAGTAATAAATTTATTATTATGTCATACTGTGCATTTATAAAGGAATGACTTGAAATATTCGATATGATTAGTTTAAAATTATGAAAGTTTTTTTCGTGATTGACTATAGACGCCTTCTACATATTGCAAAGTTTATCATATTAGAATCAGATTGAAATATTGATAAAACTCTAAAGGATACTTTTTCTAAATGAGAAAAAATGTTTAGTATGTGATAGATATAAGAGGCAGATTCATGGCACAGACAAGTAAATTTTAAGCATCTACAACGAAGAAACTTGCAAATTACTAACAATGAATTTCTATCGATTGAATTGAATTCGCAATGTTGCTGGGAGATTCATTTTAGCAAAGATGGTCCACAGAATACTGATGACTTGAAAAACAACACATCGATTATAATTGTTTAATCACCCGTTTCCCGCTTCAGAAATAAATGATCCTGAGAAGATATGTCTCTGGTGAAAATTTGGGCCCAATCGGCTATAGGAGGTCGGAGTTTTAACTCATTCATAGGTCATTTTTGGTCTTCAGGAAAATCGACATACCACAAAGTATCGAGGTCGGACTGATTTCAGATTAAAGCTTATGTCAGTACCTAACTTTTATCCGATCAAAACTTTTAAATTCAGTCTTGTTGATTTTTTATGACTACTTTACTGGAAGGGTCTAAAAATCAGCCTGAAAAATGGGAGTAAACGATAGCAAATCCCACTTTTCTTAGCAGAGGGTTCGACTTAAAAAAGGGTCGGACAAAAGTTTCCTTTCTTTGAGACCTGTAAAATAAAAAAAATGGATATAACTCAAGCCAAGAAGGCGTGATTTTGATTTTCCTGATTGGAACCTACGTTCGGAGAAAAGCTCTAAAAAGTTTTAGAAATGGACTTTCTGATTAAAATTTTAGGACGGCTTGAAGACAGCATATTTCTAATCTTTTTTGTGGGTTTTTTTTAAAAGTGCGTAACAGGAGCAGTAATCCAACGTTATCTATCATATCAAGATAGTTTTGCTCTCTACTTTGATGGATGACTCATACATTTCCATACCAAAATTTTGTCTTCACATGGCAGCTCTCATGATTCTTTAGATTAAAAAATCTGAGTTCTTTGGGAAATGATGAGTGAAACGACACAACAGAATGATAATTATCATCGCTCAATGCTCTCTCAGCAACAAGATATTATCTCACTTCTTATTTTCTAGATTTTTGCTAACTATTGGAATACCCTGTAACAGATTAAAAAACTGCATTCTTAAAAAAAACATGAGTTTCTGTTAGTACGTTGTTACGCAGTGCAATAGAGCTATACATATTCAGTATTGAGAATAAAATATAAATATATAATTCAAATCTTGAGCCTTCGTATGTGCCTAGTAGTCACTATAAAAGTATTCTATTCAATCATATCTAAATGGCTACGCTAGTTGTTCCAACTGAAAAAGTTTTGAAAACGGTGGAAATTTTTCGTAAAACATGATAGTCGGGAGAGGGTTAAGTTTTTTTATCGATAAATTCGTGAAAATATGGCCGTTTTGCAAAAAGGCTACCTATACTTGGAAAGAGGATGCTTCAGTGCGTCTTCGTATGTCAAGAACTCAATTTTGATTTTTTTTGAAAAATTGAACTTTCTATGAGAAGCGAGGCGTAAGCTATCAATATGTGTATACCATTTATGCTGCATAGTCAACAAGTAGAACAACCATTCGATTTGGTTCACTGTTTATTTAGTCGATCATCGGAATTTGAAGGTTCGGTCATGTTCAGTACATCAAAAATAAACTACTCAGATAGATTTAGTTACATCGCTTTCTGATGTATTGTATTGATCTTGATGATTTGATAATTAATCACTCATATCTATAACAATGTTTTCTTTATGCTATTCTCGATAGTGATAGGTTCAATCGTTTTAAGAAATTGAAATCTTGTACGTCTTGACTGAAAGTGTTCACCAAAAATGAAGAAGTCAATAATCATACGGTACAGATTAGTCATCCGGTTCGAAATGATGAGAAACATGATCAATTAGAGCATGTCTCTGCAGATTTTTTATTGATTTATAAGTAGAGATACACTCTATCTTAAATTAATACTTCCATGTGCACTCAACAGATAATACCTGTTGTTGTGGTTGTACTGATAGTTGTCGAAGTAGTTGTACTAGTAGTCGTTGTACTACTCGCCATCGTAGTACTAGTCATTGTTGTATCTGTCGTTGAAGCTTGAATAGAAGACAAAGATAATAAACAAATTATGAAAATTTCAAGTCAAATTCAAACTTGAAGTAGTGGTCATTGCTGTTGTCCCTAAAAATCTCAGAATAAATTTTTCATTTAATTTTCACTAATTTTCATCTCTCAAGTTACCATTAGTGGTTCCAGTTGCGGTTGGATGTGACTGTGTTGCTATGAAAGGAAGGAGGAAAGGCTGTTTATATCATTACAAACATAACGAATTTAAACAATAACAATGGTAACACTTGACAAGTACGCATTATAAAACTTTTGAAAGTTTCGAATCTATTCGTTTAACAATATGAGAGTTCGCTGAAAGTGTTGATTCATAAAATTGGGCTGCATGTGAAAATTAAAATAATGAAGTATGGACATTTTGCGATTGTAATGAAAATCTAAGAAAGAAGAATTTGCCGATCATGGTCTAAACCTATATCTTTCCTCGTAATAAAAATTGTCTTAATAGTATTCCATTAGTTTGAACCGTGAAAATGATTTGAACAAGCTGGCAAGATCTTATAATGCTACATTACTTCGAATTATCAAGTGAGATGCCTTACCTCTCAAAAAGGGATGGCGTACAATATTTTATTATCTTCGAATTTCAGTATTTTTTAATACTTCCTTGCACGTTCTTTGCAGTATCGCGCAAAGCTTTCACTAGGAATATTGTATATGAAATGTTTCGAATCGATTACTGCTGAGACATAATTAATGAGGGAGTAAAAGAAGCTCTGTACTAACATGGGAACCCCATTTTCAAAGTTATTAGAAGACTATGGAAGAATCTATAATAGTTAGGACAAGGAAAACGTTTTTTTAATGCTTTTGCTATCCACTGGATTTTGTAAATTAAGAATACCTCGTATCTCTATTAATGAAAACCGAACAGGTACGAAAACGCGTGTACGTACACTTGCTTGACTGAAAAAAGAAAGGTAATCATTATAATATTGAAAAATGGATTTTCAGCACTGAGTCATGCTTACGTTCATATGAATCATCTTTTTCAACGCTATCAGAGTCGTGTTAGCGCATGTAGGAAGAAAAGTTTAAGCCCCACTGTAGGATTGTATTTCATTCTACTATAATCAAACTACTTCACTCTGATGAAGTTCAACCATTGTTGCGCTCATAAGCGAAAAAAACCCGCAAATCTTTTCGAAAAACATTTATAAATTACTTATAATTGGCGAATTATTGATCTCGAAAATGCATTAATGCATATAAATTAAAGATTACAGATGGTCATGATTATTATTTATGAAATGACACTATTTGATTGATTCTATTGACTGACTTCCTTCTTCAATACATACCTAAGATAATTATAGCAATGATACCCGCCAAAATAATCGAACACAGTGAACAAATTATAGTGCAACAACAGCAACGGCTATTGAAGTATTTTCCACGTCTATTATATTGAAACTAACCCAAATTGAAAAACGACACATAATCACTTGGAGAATTAATTACCGTCTTTTTCTCTTTTTATTATTGATTTTCTCAATTTCATCGAAATCGAGTGGAGTAGCTTTGTGACTCTTTCCTGATATTTCTTTCTTTGCAGTTGGAAGTCGGTTGCTGCTTGAGATCGATGTTAACGATTCATTATTCAACATAGAGAATGATATCATGGACTAAAAGAATGCAAAGCATTTGATCATCAAATAATAGTCTAGCAAAACTTTTTACATTTTCCACACAGTCAAGCATGGCTTTCTAATCCTTTAGTCTGAGGTTTTTCTTTTGCTTATAACAGCAAAATATGTACTGTTTGATTTAGGAAGTCTCAAACTAGACAATTATCTACCGCTACGAAACATTCTTTGTAGCCAAGATTTGTTATTTCAGGAGATTTGAAACCATAGACGAATGTACTTGGATGCTATTCCTAGTTCAATGACCCTCGGTCATAAACGGCCGTATACCGATCAAATACGGCGAAATAGGGTCACTGTACACGGTGATTTACAGCGTATAACGCGCATCGTAAACAGTGCCTGTAAAACTTCACCGTAAGCCACTGTCGTGACTGAACGCTGACCGTATACTGTAGCCAAAATATGCCGTTTCAAGTCGTACAAGTCAGTCACTTACGGTGATCATTTATTACCATCGCATACAACGCTGTACAGTATATATCGGCCCCTGTAAACAAGTGGGCATATAATGTCGCCGTAAACGGTTACCATAGCGACACGGCAATTGTATACGTTGACAAGGAGAAATATCTGCTCAGAGTCAACTGAAGTCGCACACAAACCAAAAACGGTGGACTATGGTAACCGTATCCTGTTTCCATTCACGAAAACTGTAGAGGATGTACTAAACNAGACGTCGCCTGTGAACGACCGTCTTAACAACTCAGCAATTCTATCCATAAACATAATAAACCACATCAGTATACGATACGCACATAGTGTTACCGATTAGTATATTTGTCCACCCGAAAGAAACGTTCCTTTGATCAAGCGATCATATAAAAAGCTAAGTACTAACGGACGAAATCCAGGACCCTTTCTTAAGCTCAAGCTTTTCGAACAAACTGTCGAAGCAATGATGTAGAGCAATCATCATATCAACATTTGATTTTTTGAAGAATACAAAAACCTGAGTCCTATCGTATTACATATAATGGAATCGAGAAGCGTCACCGAATTATCAGCGGGTGCGACTACCATTCCTCGGAGACGGTAACGGGTATTATATAAACGGTGTTCTTTGGTTCGTGAGGACTACCATTCTTGGATTCGTTTAGCTCTTCCAGGGTTACTGTAGCAGGGTATCCTAGCAATAAGTGAGAAACGGCATTCACAAATATTCTGGACCTTTCTTTCACTCTTGATGCGGCCACTTTCAAAGCGTCCTCGATGACCCTAGGATCGGCCCGAACATGACCATTTGTTGTCCGTATAACAAGAGTGAAAAGCTGTCTTGCAATACGGGTTGGTCGGTGCCAGCGTCGCTTTTAACGGAGCGATGGACATGAAGTGAGCTGGTTGTATCCCTTGTAGTACGAGAGGGATGCGGTGATGAAATCGAATGAACCACATTGGGTGTGTGGATTTTATACTAGTCAGGTGGCCGTATTCTTGACTAAAGCTACCTCAATCACTGCCGGGTGTTGGCAGATTTACGAACGTGTACGATGGTAAACAGGATAGTTATTGCTGGGGACGACAAAAATACGGCTGTTTCTGATCTTCGTAATGCTCGTTCTGGGTTTCTTTCACATAAAAGTGAGTGGCGTGCATTTTAAACAGACTGTTGAAAGTAAAGATTCACACGACACATTTCACGCGAACTTATTCTAACCTTAATGAGATGACACAAGCATTCTTCTAGATTGCAGCAATAAACATAGTTAATATTCAACCGATCTCAAATCAGAATCGGACTTTCATAAATAACAGACTCCACAGTTCACTTTTATGTTTTGGAACTAAATTGGAGCTGGAATCGAAATCACTGTTCCGGTCAGTGATTCGATTTCGGATAATTGTTGAAGTTATCGAGATTTCTTTTTCAATATATTTTAAATTCAATAACGGCATTCTATTAATTAATCATCGAATCAGATAAGCTTTCTCTTTACAGAATAAATAGCTGAATTTGGTATAATGTTCTAATTACTGTAGTGCTTTGTGTTCTTTAATAGTGAAAAGCGTATCTTGTAATATTCGAATATCAAAATATTTCGTGTTCGATCGGCGAAAATTTCATTTTCGAATCGTACTTGATCATATTAATGTTTTAATAGCAACACTGAAAGAGAATTATTCTGAAAATTATTCAAGTTTAGTAAGATCTTAACTTATTTCACGGGAATAAACAGAGCCACGTTATGAAACTCCTCTCTCTCTCGACTGTGTATGAATTATGACAATAGAAAAAGCTGTCACTATTTTTACTAAACAAGAGTAACGTGAATGTAAAGACTAGTAGTCTAATGTTTATCTGGTAATATCAGTATACATAAACCGAAGTTGTTACTTGTAGTCAGGCAAAATCTTCTATTCTAGAGAATCAAACTTGGCTTTCATCGTTGCATTAGACCTACTTCTGCATATTAAAATAAAACTCATATTGATTACTCACTGGTATAGTTGTTTGGTTTGAATTAGTTGGCATTCGACTTATTTTGTGCACCTGAACATGTGGATGCCGTGCATCATTCTTATTGCTAAAATATTCATTTTCTAAATCGTTCAGTGATGAATTCATCTTTTCAACAGTAATTGATGGTGAATTTATATGAGTAGTAATAGAAGAAGCTGGATATAGCTGCTTTCGATTATTTAGTGATGAAATTCTGTTTTGTAAATCAGCATGCAGTTGTTCCGGATCATTGATCGTAGAGCTTGGTACAATCTTATTGCGTAATTGTCGATTGACTACTATTTTGCGTGATTTTGAAAATCTTCTCTTTTTGAAATGCATCCGTATATTGTGAAATTTCTTATTACTGACAGAGCGACCATTCTTGGATACTGGATCATTCTATGATAATAAGATACTTTTCTAAATGTGACATGATAAAAGATGGGTGATCGCATACATTTATTCGACGGCTACTGATGATACTCATACTTGTTTCCTCAGTTGATGGTGTTACTTGTAGCATGATAAATTCTTCTATCGTCTAGAAAAAATTTCGAATCCTCTAACTGTTTTAAATACTACTAGTTTATGGAAAATAAGTGAATAATCTGAGTGCAAGTATGAGGTTGATGTTATTATTGCTGGTGTTGGCTGTAACTGTATTTGTTGAGCACATGAGAACTGTCTACTTGGCATACATACTATGGTGTAGCCAACTTTTTGACAAACACATTGACTTTTTAAACAATGTTAAAGCTAGTATGAATGATATTTTAATAGGTACTATTCGGTGAGGATACGTATTCGGCAAAAGTAATTTAAAACAAAAATAAGTCTTCTAAGTCCCCTCCCCATGTCCG